CCGAAGGAACTGAAACTTGACACACAGACGGATGCAAACAGACACACACAAGATGCACATACATACAAAGACACATTCATACATACAGACACAAAGACAGACACATACAGACAGACAGGCACACAGACACACACAGACAGGCACACACTCGTACAAAGACACATACATACAAACAGACAGGCACACATACATACAGACACATACAGATACACACACATATACATACAAAGACACATACACACAGACTGACACACACACATACAAACAAATACACACACACAATGTTTACGTCACCTTCCTGTTTTCTACCTTTTAGGTGCAGGAGGGTGACTTTCCCTGGGGTCCAGTGGTGACTCAGGTTGATGGGAGTCAGAGTTCACACTCCCTGTGTGTGTGTTAGCTGGGAGAAGTGACGTGCATTCACTTCCTCCCAGCGTGTGATGTAATCACAGGGGACCCGGTCTGGCTGTTAAAGCGCCCAGCGCTAAACGGGCCCCCTGAAATCAATCTCAATCGGGTGGCCCTAACAGCATGGGCCAGCCGATGAACCCCTTAGGCGGCGGCCCCGGTGGTTTGCCACACAGGCCAGGGCCGCAGAAGATGGAGGCGACCCCTGCGACCGCAGTATGTACACCACTGGCTGAACGGTAGGCAGCACTGCCGTTCAGCATCTACACCCTCTGCATGGGGACGCTGAATTTACTTCCTAGAGATACATTGATTCAGTGCATCTATATGAGGAGGCACTGATTGGCCACAATGGCATTTGGCCCCGCCCCTTGCCGATTTCAGCCAATCCAATGCTTTCCCCATCAGCAATTCTGATTATGTCACCAAGGGAGCGGCGCTGGAATTAAAGTGAGTGTCTGTCTGTGTTCCCATGTCTCTCAGTGTCCCTAGTGTCTCAGTGTCCCCATGTCTTCCAGTGTCCACATGTCAGTGTCCCCATTTCTCCCAGTGTCCCTATGCCTCCCAGCCAGTGTCCCTAGTGTCTCAATGTCCCCATGTCTGCCAGTGTCTGTATCCCCATGTCTCCCAGTGTCCCCAAATGTCTCAGTGTCCACATGCCTCCCAGCCAGTGTCCCTAGTGTCTCAGTATTCCCATGTCTCCCACTGTCCCCTAGTCTCCCAGTGTATGTGTTCCCATGTCTCTTAGTGTCCCAAAATGTTTGTGTCCCCATGACTCCAGTGTCTGTGTTCCTAGTAAAAATACAAAACGATGTAAATAATTCGCTTAACAGTGATTTTTACTAATTATAATTGTGATACCAGCAGCTATTGCACATTGAGTGGATATCCCAAAAAATCCACTTAGAACAAGAGATATAGACAACAAACAAACTCAGTGTTTGGGTGATGAACCCCACCTCCCCACACACAGAGTCCACCAGTGCAGTGCTTTAAATGTGTTTACACTTACCCCTCAGTATATACAGGGAATTTTCCACATGTAAGAAATAAAGAAATATAAAATAGTATAATACATTACTTTACAGATGCATATTAAAGTGAGTATGTAAATAAACTCAATTTTTTTAGAGCCTTTTTCAATATTGGCTCCAAACAAAAGGAAAGTCTGGGCCTAGGTGGCACCAGGAGACCGTCTTCTGTGTTTTTTTTCTCAGCAGCAAATATGGAGATAAAGCAGAGAAAAAGGAACAATCTCGGTGTAGCTAATTTAACAATTAAATAATAAAATATAAAATTGCCTGCTCACCTTGTTTGCAGCCTGTTAGACAACTGGCTTCAAAATTTTCACCTAGTGTCAAGTTCCTAGGGTGACACTTCCTTGTTGAAACCGGAAATTCAGGATGAAGAAAAAAAGGGGGACTTTAAATTTAACTGGCACTGGTGGACTCTGTGTGTTGGGAGGTGGGGTTGATCACATAAACACTAAGTTTGTTTGTTGTCTATATCTGTGTTCCTAGTGTCTGTGTCCCCATTTCTCCCGGTGTCCCCAAATGTCTCTGTCCCCATGTCTCCCAGTGTCCCCATGTCTGTATCCACAAGTGCCCCCATGTCTCCCAGTGTCCCCAAGTGTCTGTGTCCCCGGGTCTCTCAGTGTCCCATGTCTCACTGTGTCCCCATGTCTTTCAGTGTCCCCTAGTATACTAGTGACACGGGACACACTGAGACATGGGAACACTGGGAGAAATGGGGACCCTGAGACACTGGGAGACTAGGGGACTGGACGACATGGGGACACTGACACTGTGATACATAGGGACACTGATGCCAGGCTGGCCTTTCAATTCTTTGGACAGACATGCCCCTTTTTGGGCATGTTTGCCCCTTCTGGCTGTTCTGATCACGTGATTCGCGTCAGTGGCCCACCCTTTTACCCCGCTCATTGACTTCCTGCTTCACTGGACACTGCTGTTAGGGGGTATGGATTCCCTTGAAAGATGAAACCTAAATTAGAGAGAGATTAGCATAGCATATTTTTTTTCTTATAGCTGCATCCTTTGAGTTTCCCTCCAATACCATCTCAATCAGATACATGACGCTTGAGAGGTAAGACTGTTTTAGTGTTTTTGGTTGATAAGATAGCATGTTTAAGGGCAGCAGGGACAACACCAGAAGAAAGAGAGCAGTCGAAGATGTGTGTTAAGGAATGCACAAGACAAGAAGAGAGAGATCTGATAAGGTGAGACGGACAAGGGCTGTGCTGTATGAACGCAAAATGAATTTGTAGTTGAGGAAGTCTGACTGGGTGCGTGACTTCCTCCAGCAGCATTAAGCAGAACGGGAACATCTCTGCAGGTAGCTTGTTAATTTAGTGTGCCACGTTTGGGGGCGTGTTCTCCTTAAGTTGCATGTTTGGAGCGGGGCTACAGCATCCAGGGCAGAGGTGAGGGTAGTGTTATATGAGGAGATAGCCAGTGGGGGACAGGAGAAAGTAGGGATGGATAGAAGTTGGGAATCAATATTAGCTGATAGCTAATATTGAGGTCAATATAATTCAGATTTCTTCCTAGGTGAGGGGGTTAGATTGAGGATGATGGGGTAAGGGGCTATTGAGAGCAAATGCAATGTCTAGTCTTTCATGAATTTAGCTAGTACATCTCTGAAAGCCTTCCGAAGTGCTCTTGGTGTCTTGGTCATCCTGAAACAGCTTTTCAATAAAGGTAGCTTAGCCTGTTTGGGCAGTAAAAGCATAGAAAAAAGGTGGCAGGGATAGTGTGGAAGCTCTTCATGGAGGATGGTCTCAGAAACATCTCTGATGCGGACATTGCATACTCTGGTCTTGTTTTCCAATGTAGCCACATGTGCTGTTAATGCTGGATAGTTTGTCTGCAAGGTATTAATTGCTGAATCAGTAGCTGTTTGAGCAACTTTTACAGCCACATCGTCTTCCTCAATAGCGTCTATTTGGCTTGTAAGGGTGGTCACCTCCTCCCTGATTATTGGAACATTGCTTGTATGTCTTTAAATAGGGCTTTGATGTCAGCTTTAGTAGAGGGAGCCTCATCCCCTTGGGTCAGAGGGTGAGGTGAACTGACTCATATATTTGTGGAAGCAGGTGAGTCTTCTTCCAGGCTGTAGTCTTCAGAGGACGCTGAGGAATAGGCCACATCGGGTGCCATCTTAGGTGAAGTGGGCCTCTGAGTCTGGTTGAGCAGCACTCCAATATCGCGGGATCCAGACAATACTTTTTAGATTCTCTTCCCATAGTCTGTAGGTAGAGAACTGACCAACTAATCCTCAGGGATGAAGTGAAACCACGCGTAAGGTAGTAAATAGTAATAATAAAATAGTAATATTGGTAAATTGGAATAAAGCACAGAGCTCGGAGAAAACACGTCCGCCTTGAATGAGTGCTGGCTCCACCCTCTATTATTTTTTTTAATTTAGGACATTTTTATATAGCAGTACAGCTTTTTTTACATGTATTTTACAGGAACACTATAGCGTTATGAATACAAACCTGTATTCCAAATGCTGTAGTGTTCCTGTCCCTAATTTTCTAGGTCCTTCCTCCCTGGTGTACAATTAAATTATTAAAAAAAAACAAAGTAGTATATACAACTCCAAGGTGTAGTATAAGCTAAAAGGTGGGATAGCACACAAAATATAGAGGATACAACCTGTATAACAGGGAGTGATCTCTGGGAGATCTAGAATAATAGAATCACAAATAGTGAAGTATGCAAAGAAATGTGACTTAATCCAGGAGGTAGAAAACTTACAAGAAACACTGATGTTCTGCGCTTATCTCCCCTCTGGGGTATCTTTCAGAAGTGATAGAATTCTTCTTATTTGCAATTAAATTATTAAAACCCTTTTTTAAACGTATCTCTTTCCAGCCCCGAGGATCGCTTGGTGCTGGCTAGGTCTGGCTAGCATTCATGCTTCCCCATAGTAAAGCATCAAATCAGTGCTTTCCTCTGGGGAACGTAGAAGATCGTGGATGTTCTTATGCAAAGCGTGAGGACCTCCAACATCAGTTAAAGCTCTTCTAGGGACCCGGATACAATAAATCAAGAGACACAAATCAATCTTTTCAAATTCCAAGATTCGTCCCACTGAATTAAATCATATATGTATCTCATTTACTGCATGGAACACCCTGGGCAACATTTTTCATGCCGATCAAGCAGCAACTGCTCCATGATTTGCACTGGTCCACCAACGTTGACAGCCTAATGAGTGATTATTTTTTTTATTGGGTGTAAAAAGCAATTCCTCTTCCTTACCCTGATTAACAATCAGGAACCCCAGCTATGCCCCACGAGTCTGCCCTCACCAGTATGTACTGAGATGCACCTATATATTGCAGGCTGAGATCTGCTGATCTCCAACTTGGCAACTATTTTCAACATTTCAACAACACATTAAACAGTGATCCAACAACATCCTTACAGTTGTCCTCTTGCACCAAACATAATACTAAAAATTTCTTCCTGATTCCTAGAACACAAAGCAGGTGAGCGCTTCCATGACTTCGGCAGATCTAGAAAAAAACTACGTGTCTGATCCAAGTGCAACAATCAGTTTCCATGCAGGACAGCAGCAATATGAGATTGATTTTAAACGTAAGAGTGTTTCTCAGTATTGTGTACAATTACCAAATTACTTAATATGTACGTGTTCTGACTCTTGGAGGACTCCTGCTGCTCCCCTTTGTATCTTTTTGCTATATTTCTGATATATTTACTACTTTTTTCCTTTCTCCTCCTAATATTTTTTTTTCTTTCTTTTCCCCTTCTTTCACCATTGCTCCTCCAGATGCCATTTTTTGTTTTATTCTATCCCCCTCTCTCCTCATTCTTCTGTATTCTTTATATTAGTTGATTGTGCTGCATTGCATTTTACAACATGCCTTATACAGTTTTATCTAATGTTATTTATTTTTGTATTACTATTGGTCACAAAAATTGCATGTTTGTGTGTCAGCGTATTCTCAGTTTGCCTCAGTAAATCTCAACAGATTAATATACTAGTTATTGGAAAAAGTGTATCTTAAAAAATCAGTTCCACTAGAAAAAAATAAAGAAAAGGTAATTATATTCACTAACATGGCCTTGCGGATGGCTTAAACATGCCATACACAAACATGCCATTCACAAACATGCAGACACAAACATGCCATAAACAAACATGCAGACAAAAACATGCCATACACAAACATGCAGACACAGGCATTCTTTCAGTTGTGCTGGATGTGTGTATGTGCTGTGCGTATGGACTGCAGGGATTAAAATAATTTATACATGCTGTGCCCTGGGATGTAAATTACAAAAATGGGGACTATTGACTTTAAAAAAAATCCTCAACCAATAGCTACATTACAATTGTTCAGTTGAGAAAAAATATCACAAACAACAGTTTCTTTTTCATATTCAGTGGACAGCGGCATTTGTAATCTCCCCTAGTATTTATTCCAAGCTCATCTCCTGCACTATTTTTTTTTCTGGTGGAAATTCACCCCTCCCTATTTCCTCTGATTCAATACTTATTCTAAAAATGTATGAAAACAGACATGGGCTTCCATAGTGAATTATAGGGAACTGTAGTGCTCTTTGAATGTGATGTCAGGGATACCAGGATTTGGGGGTGTTACCATGCTAAGGTCTCCAGGAATCCATCGAAACAAGACTATACAACACACTAGAGCTAATAAAATAATTTGTTCATTTTATTTTCCCTTTAGTTATGACACAGAGAAATATGGTGTATAGAACTCAGAGAGAAGTACGCAGGAGGCCCAAATTCCTGTCTATTGATGATGTGACAAAACTGAAGGGCAGGTAATCAAGTTCTGATAAAATTTGCCTATTTGTGGATTTGTTTCTGGAACTTTCTGCTAGATGGCTGAAGTCTGCATTACTTAATAATATATATATTTTTTTTAAGTACAAAATCAAGTTCCTCCAATACCATACAAAATTCTCCTCTGAGGACTGCAGAGTATCCTGAACATTGGTACAAAGCATCAATGCCAGAAATTGGCCATGAGGTAATTTGATAACAGATTAATGGCATGGACTGATTCCTCCCAGCCGTTGTTGGATTACAGCTTCCAAAATTATTTCCTAGCAATGGCAGAGAATTGTGGGAACTGTAGTTTAATAATTTATGGAAAGCTGTACTTCCACAGACCTGTTTACCAGTTATGATATCATATTGTGGTGGAATCTCGGTAAAAATAAATTTAGTAGGCCGAGATTACCACGTGGCATGTGTACGTGCATATGCTGACGTATCGATCAGTTGGTTGCACGAGGCAAGATACGATCAGTAGTGTACGGAGCATGTGCAAGAATACAGGATGTAGTATTCCCCTCCTCCATTGTGCTGGACAAGCCATGCGGTCAAGCAGGAAGTTAATTCTTATTTGTAATGATTGGTCAAGAGAATGTGCGGGTGGAGCTTAATATGGGAGGAGTTATGTGCCTATATAGGGAGCCTGCACTATTGTTCAGGGCTCAGAACTTGCTGTATTTTTGGTGACATTAGTCCCTCTGAGTCCCGATCGGTGATCCAATAAAGAATCTCTTCCTTCCTGAAGAAACCTGTGTCCATCTCTCTGTGCTTTGCTTCCGTCAGTTTCTCCGGTATCATTTGGTGCATTGGCCGGGAAGCTCATCGTTCAACGGTAGCTGAGAGGCAGAGGCGTGAGACGGTCTATCTTTGCCCACGTTCTCTACGGCTGCACCCCTGAACTTCTGCGTGGACCTCCCTTCGTCTCGGCGCCACTGGTCTGTTGTCCAGGAGATCATCGGCCTCTACGTAAGAAGTGCTGGGGTGTCCCCGTCGATGAGTGTGAACTCAGGTTCAGGAACGAGGAGGTAAGACAACTGCTGTTTTAGACGGCAGACCCACTAGGGGTATACCGATTGTGCGGTAGGCCCAAAAGGGGTTTAAATCTGTGTATGGAATCTGCCCCTCTGTCGGAGGGAAGGAGCGAAGGCGCACCGCTCGATCGAACGCTCTTTAGTAAGACCGTTTGATCTGGTTAGTCAGGCGGGGTCCTGTGTAAATAGCCCTAGCCGGACACCGGTGTCTTGTCTAGACTAGCGTTCTAGGGTGTATATTACGTTCGCTAGGTCGGAGGGACCGGGAGACTAAGCGGCGCCTGTGTAAATTCGGTTCGCTAGCTCTCAACCTATCTTGGCTAAGTGGGAAGGCGTGTAAATTTGGAACCCACTAGACTTTTGATAGAGTAAATAGACTAGAAGGGCAATTTTGTAAATTCCGCCCTCTAGTTCGCTATATGTGGTGCTTGGGCAGTGTGGCTAACCAAAACGGGTGTATATAGTTTTAGGTAGTCCATTCAAGGTACTGGCCAATAGTTTAGTTGGGATTGTAAATGTGTTAAAGATTGTTAGTAAAGTGTATATCTTGTTAGATAGCGCGAGCTCAGCCGTCTAGCGAGAGTGTTAATAGTGTGTTGCTGTATCATAGTGCACGGTACCATAACCCTGTATATTTACTGACACTGTATATAAGTACTAATCATTGTCGTCTATTGCATGTTTAACACCGTAACCACTAATAATAGTATTGTGACCCTAAATTGTGCTTTGACCTATGCTGACCGTACTGTAACTGATACTAGTAAAAGACGATGTTACTGGGGTGTGTTATAGACGGGTAATTCATATATAGAGAATTATAGCGTGGGTGACTGTATAGTTTCGCCAAAGGGCATAATATTGATTATTTAGTGACTGGTGTAACAGCTGTGTGTGTACGGGAATTCCCTGAGTGATTATTGTGTTATTGTGTACGTTTCACTCGGTAACTGTACCACGTGGTGCTGTTGCCAGAGGAAACGGGTGTGACTGTTGAATAAGAACGCGTGCATAGTATTCGTTGTCAACGACGTTCCATTGATAAGTATGGGCGCGTCAGAGTCAACGATTTCGGATCCCTTAGGTTGTATGGTAAAGAATTTTAAAAAGGGATTCAAAACATGTGATTTTGGGGTTAAAATGTCTTCTGTACGTTTGGTCACTTTGTGCACTAGGGAGTGGCCTACTTTGGTTGCGGCATGGCCGCCGCGTGGCAGTTTGGATCCAACCCTGGTACAGCGTGTACACGTGGCTGTATCAGGTAGGCCTGAACTTTACGGACAGTTTCCATACATTGATTGTTGGAGGCAGGCCGTAAACGACTCGCCAAAATGGATCCGGATATGCCACGAGGAGCAATGTCGCCTCATGGTGGCCAGGACTTGTTTGTCCACTAGGACTGGTGTTAGGCCCATTTTGGACACGCCCCCTGAGTCCGAGATCCCTTTGCCGCCCCCTTACTTTCCTTTAAGAGGAAGTGACGCGAATGCAGGAAGTTCTGCACCCCTTCCCCTATTGCCCCCATCCACTTCCGCTTCCTCCTCCAGTACAGAATCCACCCCCCCTCGTATTAAAACTCCCCTTCCGGAACCAGGACCAACCCCCATTAGATCTGAATATCCTGATTTGGCGCCACTTCAAACTTCAGGTCAAGCTTCTTCTAGCTCGGCTCGGAGTATACTATTCACTAACTTTTCCCAAAATCAAGTTCCCACATCCTCATGCCCTATTACCTCTCGACCGGAACCTTTAACTGACGCCCCTCCACGTAGCCCCATACTAACCCGACAACTGACCGGTACCCAACAATTAAAACATTATCAGATGCCTCTTCGTCTGAATCCTGGGTCAGCCTATATCGATGCCGCAGGTCAAATGGCACATGCTGACCCAGTCTTCGTATATGTCCCGTTCACGACTACCGATCTCTTGAATTGGAAGACCCACAATTCCTCGTACACTGAGAAACCACAAGCTATGACCGATCTGTTCACCTCGATAGTTCAGACACATAACCCGACATGGGCTGATTGCCAGCAGTTATTAATGACATTGTTCAATAATGAGGAAAGGACAAGGATTAACCAAGCGGCCATTAAGGCGCTAGAGGAGAGAGCCCGTGCTTTAAATCAAGCCAATCCGGCAGCATGGGCCGCAACACATTACCCTAACACCGATCCTGACTGGAATGTAAATGGCGCAGATATGGCTCAACTTAAAGCCTATAGAGACGCTATAATTGCTGGCATGAAAGCCGGAGGGAAGAAAGCTATTAACATGTCGAAGACAGTTGAGGTGATTCAGAAAAGTGATGAAGCGCCCAGTGTCTTTTATGACCGATTATTGGAGGCATACCGCTTGTATACCCCCTTTAATCCGGAAGACGCTGATAATTCCCGAATGGTAAACTCCGCCTTTGTCAGCCAAGCTTACGGAGATATTAAGCGCAAGCTACAGAAATTAGAAGGGTTTGCAGGTATGTCTATCACCCAACTAATGGAGGTAGCGAACAAAGTATATATGAATAGGGAAACAGAAAGTAAGAAAGAGGAAGAGCGCAAGATGCGTAGAAAGGC